TAATAGGCCAAATTTTGGTCTCCTCATGTTATGAAACGCTGCTGACTTATGTGGAGTTGCCTGGGTGTAAATGGGACCAGAATTTGGCAGGAAAATGCTGCGGATTATATTTGGTAAAGGAACTAAAAAGCACGTTGGTTAAGATATTGAACAGCTATGAACACCCAACAGGCCAAAGCGGCCTAGCAGTTGCACAGCACACCAAATCCCTAAAGCCCCAAATACTGACAAATGCTGGACACCAGATTGTGGAATGTGCTGTGACTCCATGGCTTCCTTTTTCTGAGCTGAAGATTGACCTTTCACTAAGCAATACTTTTCCTTTTTACCCAATGACAAAACATGTCTCTTGCAACCAGGTACCAATCCTGCATATCAAATGCATCCTTTCCAGCCCTGTGCTTGAGTTTTAGAAAAAAAAAAAAAAGATGTTCTCCTATACCGCTCTCTGTGAAACCTTAGTGACTGTCTGGATTGTTCCATAACCTTTGCTTGTAAGATCCATGTGCCAAATATGACTATTTAAATTTCTGCACCTGCCCCTTTTGTCCAGTCCTGTGAATTGCTGTTCTAAACCAGCTAAAAGCACTGAAGGAGATTACAATGTGTTCCCCCAGAGACCAGGAATTGGCAATTATTTCTTCCAAAGATGGTCTAATTAGTTAATAATACAAATAAACATTGCAGCTAATTTCTCAGTTTCCAGACCTCTTTACCCCACTTAGGTAAGAGATTTTCCAAATAGCCTTGGCATCAGTATGGATTAAAAATTCAAATTGCATTTAAATTTACTATTATGTTTTTAAAACACATTGCATAATTATGACAGCAATTACAAACTGTGTAATTATTGGAATGTAGCTCTTTCCAAATATGTTTATTTTAAAATATGTATGATTCCAAGAACATAAAATTGTACTGATGATCAACATTTGAGTGGCAGAAGGGAGAAGGGCTTTGTAGAAAGGGATCATTCACACTGTTTCTTTTGGTGGTCTGCTTCTAGCTGAAGTTAAGACATGAGCTCCTACTGAGGCTTGCAGAGCTTTCAATTGAGTTATAATTCAAGCTCACAAAGCTCTTACACGACACCTTGAACAGACTTTTGCCGATGAGTCTATAGGAACTGTCAGGAGCAAGAAGATTACTTCAGGACCATGATTGTTGAATTGAACTTTACTTTTTGATGTTTTGCTTTTTGAATTAAATTGTTGGACAAGATTAATTGCACACAGTGAGAGCTTTAAATGAATAGCTGTGTAAAGCATTAAACTTCTAAGTATGTCTCATGGGAAAAAAAGCTAGAAGGTTTAAATGAATAAATGTATTTAATGCATAAAATGTCTAGGCTAATTTTTTAATTCCTTTGCTAACATCTTTTATTGAAAAAAACATACTTTATTCATCCATCTTAGTTATATTGCTGTGGTTGTGGTAATTTAATATTCCTGCTCCTTGCTAATCTTCTGGTTCAACAGAAGTAAACAATAGGTTTCATAAATTAAAAATACGCTTTTCAAAACATGTTTCTAAAGATAAAAAACAAGGCTGTAAACATTTATGACTGAAACAAACTAGATTGTTCAAATCCTGCCATGATGTATCATGTATATCAATATGGCACTGATATCAGTTAGAATGCAAACAAGGTTTTAAATGATGTCCCCCTTCATTTCAGCTGGAGAATCCGCTTTACACCATCTGCCTATCAGATGGTTAGGAACCAGGACTGCGTATTAATGCCACATGTTCGATTTTCCTCCCTCTTGTAATGGTTAGATTCATATTGCTAATAGCTGTGCATGAGCACTGTCGATGAAATTTGTGTGACGGTGGAGTGATGAGATAGTTATAAAGCTGCCTGTCTTACTGAATAATCAGCAGGAAGAATGCCAGACATAAACAGCTTATCAATTTTAGAATATTAATGATAATTGCCATTGACTGGAGTCTATTGAGTATTTTGACATGTTTCTTTAACTTTTCAAACAAATATTAACAGAGACTAAAGTAACTTATTATCTGAGCTATTGAATATCCAATATAGTTCTTTTCCATTTTAAATTGCCTTTAAAGGTGACATTTGGTCATCTAATTTTCGGAGATGCAATTTGGATAATGAAAAATGTGGAAGTACTATACTGTACCCTTACTTTAATCTCTGCATGGCTAGGAAATTCCCAGGCAGCTTGGTGTAAGAGAGTAGGGATTAGTTTGGTGGGGGTGGGGAGAGTTAAACAACAATTTAAGACATTTCTTGCCTCAGCTTGAATCATATTTTCAGAATTTCAAACAATGGGATAGTAGCTGCTATTTTGCAGAATTGTACTCTCTGCCCTTTACAGTACATTTGAGAGTCATCTCTGGAGAGGACTTGAGATAAATAGGGCCCTCTGTTGGGGAGAGACCTTGTCTTGTAACAGTGGTTGGAATACATCATGGTGCAGATGGTTGGCTCACGATCTTGCATGTGATCTTGCACTTATGTCTCATATTGTGGTTATGAAAGGTGTGGAGAGCAGAGTGACAGCACAGGAGTAGTTGTGCTAGAGTGGAATTACTTAGGGGACAGACTGTGCTGCAGTCTTGAGCACTATCCTCAGCTTAGTGGATTTCCCCCCCCATCTGAACCCTGTACATTCATCTGCATTAACCCTGGTATTTTGGGGTTTCCATGGGTGAAGTGAATTTGATTCGGTAGCAGGTTCATGCTTAAAATTAGCAAAGTGTTCCTGAATCAGTCAGCTGTGCAATTATGTAAGAGAGAGAATGAATATAGGAGTTCAAATTCTGTCTTTATTTTTTCCCCCTTTTTAAGAGAAAAATATAACCACAAGCAGAGTTTTGGTAACATCAGTTTAACAGCTCAACAGTATGTGTTTGAGATTTCTAGTCCTCACACAAAAGCCTTGACCAATTCTAGAGAATAGCACTGGAAGAGAATAGGGTTGCATATTGGGGTATTCTGATGCAAAAGAAAATTTGCATTCATTAGGTATGCTGTATTTGGACTTTTTTGGTAAAAGACTGTTCTTTAAAGACACTAGCTATAGCTTGACAATGGTATTAAGAAAAAGGAAGTGTAGAATACTGCGCTGTATAACAAACACAGGATACAAATGTAAGTTCAGAGGTGCATCATCCCTTTTCTGTGGCTTAATTTAGGAACCGTAACCAAATCTGTATAATATATAGCTTCATATCCTTCCTCTAAGATAAAAATATCATTGAAAAGCATCCATGTTATTGTATTAGTCAGATCTGAATATGCAAGCTTCATAGTAGTAGTAAATATTAAAACAGGTTTATGTCTGTTCACCTTGTTCTTTGATATTTGACATTTGGACTCTTTCCTACTGCCTGAATAGCAATTTTGTAACTAATATTGATATAACTATACAGAAAATAATTATAGTGTAATTTATAATTCCACCAACACTTGGAGGCATTAAGAGACCCCTCATTAGAAACAGCAGTGGTGGTAGCAGGGGGTTCTCCAATATTTACTCCAGCAGGCAGGGGTTATCTGCTTGCTTGGGCAGGTGGGCTGGGCCTGTGCTGCACTCTTCTCCAGCCCAGACCCTCCTGCCCAGAGTAGTGAGTTGTGGAGTTAACTCCCTTTTGAGATGTGTGAAGCAGTTCACACCTCAGAGAAATAGTTTAAGGCTGTCTGCAGACTCAGGCAGCCATCACTGTATTAGTTAAACTTGGATGCTTTTCTTTGCATCCAGGAGGGCTAGAAACTTACTTAAAAAGAAAAACTAAGATTTTGCCCTCATCACTTGTTTCCAGGTGCTGGGACCTAAACCCAACCCTGTAGTACCTTTGCTTTGCTAAGGGGGAATAAGACCCCCATCTCTGCCTATTAGATCCAGGGTGGGATTGGGAGAAACCAGATACATGGAGAAGTGTAAGGAGTGGACAGAGCTGTGCCTGCCACTGCTCCCCAACACACCACACAGAAGAAGGGGGCTGGTGCAAAACAACTGTGAGCATGCCGCCACTGGTAGAGGGCAGTGGCAAAATTCTTCCTTTGCAGAAGCAAGAGGGGAACAGGAGAGGAACTGTGAGTCTGTGAATTAAAATTTCTCCCCTGGGCTTCTCATGGCATGACACAGCTATGCACTGCCCCATACTCAGGGCACTGGACGAAGGCTGAATGTGGTGTGAAGAAAGCAAATTGGGCAGTTCTACCAATCATTCTTGACAGTATCAGTACCAGCTCATTATTACAATATAGTGTTTCACAAATATAGCTAGATGCAGAGATTTTGTCTGGAGCTGGAGAATTTGTCATAGGAGATGTAGAACTTGGGATGCCAGAGGTGGCTTGGGAATTAAAGGAGTTACACACTTTGTGTGAGGTATCTCTGGTAGATGCCTTGAGGTCTAAGCCTGCTTGTAGGATTGTAAATAATTATATATATTTTTTCCTATGATCTACATAGCTAACCTTTCTTTTAAGAAAGCTATGGCTGTTTTAGTATGCCCCATTTAGTCTGCTAGAGTAATTTGGAATTTTATGTGAGCTCAGGGAGAATGGCTTAATTGTGAATATAACTTATTAGTCATGAATATGCTATTCAAACTCTATGGCCCTGATTTTCAGCTTGTCCTCCAGTGTTTTAAGTGTAGTTTTGCATCCAAAGTTTATTGCAGGTATATTTATTTACACTCACATTTGTACCTAAATACATGGTTTGCTGGCGAAGTTAGGCTTCTAAATGGGCATGTTTGTAGCTGCAGTTGTATTCTGACTAAAGCAATTAGAGACCAATTTTGTGAATTCACGTGTATATAAGTAACTATTTACATAGTATGTTATGCATTTTACATTAAAAAGTAAACAGTCTCCTAAGCAAATAAGGATGGATATTATTCAGTATTATCCTCTGCTAATTATGTAGTAAATGATGAAGGAAGAGTAACAGTTTCAAGCCCTACACTAATGAAGAGTCATAGTATAATGTATATTAAGTTTCATTCATATTTCTTTGTAGGTCTGACAGCAGCAGCTGCAGCAGCAGCAGCTGCTACCAATGCAGCCATAGCAGAAGCAATGAAAGTGAAAAAAATCAAATTAGAAGCTATGTCCAACTATCATGCCAGTAATAACCAACATGGAGCAGAATCTGAGAATGGAGATCTGAATTCAAGTGTTGGTAAGTTTCGGAAGTGAACATTACATACATACATGCCAGTAATGTATCAGTTTCTTACTACAGTGATACCCTTTCTCCCCCTCCTCCCCGGACCATTAAACCTTTGATTTTGGGAAAATTTGGCACATTTGCAGGCCACTTTTGTGCATGTTTAGCAATATTTTGTAGCTGACCTTTACAGAAGCACTCAGCATTGTTGTTACTATTATAAGAACATCCTTTCCTTTGTAGGATGCTACTTCAGACCCCAGTTAATATTTTCCATGAAAGAAAGCAGTTTGATTGCTAAGAGTTCATTTTTCAAAGCACAGATATGGTGACAGATGAAGGTATCAGAGCGAAATTTAACCATGTCTCCTACTCACTCTGCCGGGTATCGACTTTAGGTAATTCAGAACAGTTGCTTGAAAGCAAAATATTTCACAGTTTCAGGTGCCCTGTGACAAAAGGAAAACATACCTACCCAATAAATTATTACCATGCTTTACAATTAATCTCCTATTTTAATAAACACATTCTTAAAACATTGTTAAATGAGTTTTTTCTGTTTCTTAAACAATTATTAACAACTTCTGTTCTTTCGAAAAAGGAATTGTTCCAATACATTATATGCATTTCTCTGGCGAGTTTGTTTTGATAAAACACACTTCAAAGCTAGACTAACTTTTTTGTTGATTAAATCATATGCATGTTTCTGCAATAAAATGGTTTGTTTTGCCTTTTTATTGTACTGACTCCTCTTATCACGTTGAGACAGTACTAACAAGATAACTCAGCAGTAGTAATTCAGTGACTAAAATGTATGTTCAGAATACTATATTCAGGATAAGCATATATAGAAATAAAATGGCTCTTGATGGTTCAGTACATTCCTTTCCCCTCCCCATATTCTTTATACCTTTTGAGATTACTCTTAAGGATAAATAGTTGTCTAGCAATAAATAAAAGTGGCTGCATGCTATCCAGATCTTTTGAAGAGCCTAGGGAAGCCCACAAGAGCCAATTGGCTAGACTTTTCCCCCATCTCCAGCCAATGGGAAGGTGGTGGACCCAAGGCGGGAGCATCCAGCCATGCGTGCTTTCTCATATCCCCTCTTTCTGCACGGCATACTTCCACTGCAGATGGATCAAAGCTTCACCCCTTGTTGATTTCAGGGGAGGGGTATTTCTTTCATTCAAAATAAAAGTAGGTGACTACTGTTTCTGTATATTTCTGCATGTACTTATAGTCTACTTATATAAATATAGATAGAGTGGGGACTTCAGTGCCAAAACACTCTGGCCATTTTTTTTTAAACAACAACAAAATGTATACTTGAAAATTCCTATCAAGAGAGTGTCAGGTTTTTTTTTTAAATAAAGAACTGCTCTAGGAGCAGAGAAAAACCACCACAGCACTTCGGAAAGGTTCTCCAGTGACAGTGAAGAAGGAGGCCCCAACTAGTGTGCTAGCCAGAAATACCAGCAATGACCAGAGCTGTAGGGAGTGAAAAAAACGACCTGTCTTCTTGGAAGGAAGTCAGGGGTGAGTAAGGGGAAGGCAGTAGCAGAAATTTGAAAGCAGGGGAGATGCAACAGTGAATTGGGAAGAGCAGGTGGCCCTCAGAGAAGCAGAGGAAAACGGGGCAGTGAGGAGGAATGTGAGGGTAGCATTACCAGCTGGCAGGATGAAGAAGCAGTAATGGATGTAGAAACGTGTGGATCTTGAATGCAGGACTCAGATGCATACATTATATGAAGTAATACATTCAAATATTATGCTATGGGACTAATCCTCTTTAGCAGTTCTAGAGACAAAGTTCTTGTTTGCCTATGGCACTGTAGAAGTTAGTAATAGTTAACAAAGTAAATAGAATACAGCTTCTGTGGGACAATAGTTAAGGAGATGATTTTGGATTAAAAAAATGAATTGTTTTTATACCTCAAAACTAGCAAATATGGAAGAATAATTTATAGACTTTTAGTATGATAATCAAAAGTGATCAATTCAGAAGCACAGTCAAGTTATTTCTGTAGTAAATATGTACTACTGTATATGTAAAGCAGAGGTGGCCAAACTTACTGATCCTCCAAGATGCATATGATAAGCTTCAGAAGTTTGAGAACCGGGCGCACCTGCTCGAAGCTTCTGCCCTGCTGCAAAGTGGTGGGGCTCGGCGCTACAGCCCCACGGGAGGCACCTGCCAGTGCTCAGGGCTTCAGCAAGCGCGCGGCTGAAGCCCTGAACCCTGTCAGGTGCCTCTTGTGGGGAAAAGCCCCTAGAGTCCCTCCCCCAATCTGGTAGGTGGAGAATGGGCTGACGTGGGGGGTTCCGTGAGCCACACTTTAACTGTAAAAGAGCCACATGTGGCTCGCGAGCTGCAGTTTAGCCACCTGATCTAAAGTAAGGCTTTTAATTGCAATTTTTTGAATGCTTGTGTAATGTTGACAGACCCCGGTTGTTGGTGGGCAGGATTGAACTGGGGACCTCTGGAGCTTAGTGCATGAGTCTCTACAGCGTGAGCTAAAAGCCCAGTGGCTTAGAGCAAACTCATTAATCTCTCTCTCTCTAGGTGGTCTCGGTGCCACTAGATGGGAAAGAACACCACACCGAGGAGATGTGGGGGTTACACTTGCTAGCCCCTTAGCATTACCAAAGTACAGAATGAAACGCTTCCTCAACCTTGTTGCAATGAATAGTAACATTCTAATTTCTCCCATGTCTTCAAGAAAATCTCTGTGAATGTAGTATGCCTAGTATACTATCATCTGCTATATTATATCTGCTCAGGGCCTCTTGGTTCAGGACTTTGTTTACTGTTTAGCATGGCTTACCTAGTGTATAGCATCACATACATGTATGGATTTATAGAAATAAAAACTTGGAATTATACTAGATCAATGAGTTACAGATTAAAAAAAAACTCTAACTAGGTCATCAGAATAAACCATAATGGCTTAAAAATAGCCATTATACTCTTGTGACAATGATAGTTACCCTGGCCTGATGGATGCTCCTAGATGGATGCTATGCTAAGAAATATCAAGCAGGCTTCGGCCGAACTATTGTAACTACTGAGGGAAACTTTTAGAGGCACAAATGGAATGCAGTAGTCTAAGATTGACTGTCAGTGGGAATTAGATGCCAAGTTGCCATGTGTGCCTTGAAAATCTCTCCCATTATAACCAGAACCTGTATTTTAAAATGCGATAAAAAGTCCTGTGGCACCTTATCGACTAACAGACATACTGGAGAATAAGCTTTTGTGGGTAAACACCCACTTCGTCAGACGCATATAGTGGAAATTTCCAGAGGCAGGTATAAATATGCAGGCAAGAATCAGTCTAGAGATAACGAGATTAGTTCAGTCAGACAGGATGAGGCCCTCTTCTAGCAGTTGAGGTGTGAACACCAGGGAGGAGAAACTGCTTTTGTAGTTGGCTAGCCATTCACAATCTTTGTTTAATCCTGAGCTGATGGTGTCAAATTTGCAAATGAACTGAAGTTCAGCAGTTTCTCTTTGAAGTCTGGTCCTGAAGTTTTTTTGCTGCAGGATGGCTACCTTTAAATCTGCTATTGTGTGTCTTGTGTGTTGAAGTGTTCTGCGGGTTTTTGTATATTGCCATTCCTAATATTTGACTTGTGTCCATTTATCCTTTTACGTAAGGATTGTCCAGTTTGGCCAATGTACATAACAGAGGGACATTGCTGGCATGTGATGTCGTATATTACATTGGTGGACTTGCAGGTGAATGAACCGGTGATGTTGTGGCTGATCTGGTTAGGTCCTATGATGGTGTCGCTGGTTTAAATATGTGGGCAAAGTTGGCATTGAATTGGCATGGATTGGTTCTGAGTTAGAGTTACTGTTGTGCGGTGTGTGGTTGCTGGTGAGAATATGCTTAAGGTTGGCGGGTTGTCTGTGGGTGAGGACTGGCCTGCCTCCCAAGGCCTGTGAAAGCGAGGGATCACTGTCCAGGATGGGTTGTAGATCACTGATAATGCGTTGGAGAGGTTTCTTTCTTGGGCTTGTCTTGCAGCAGGAGGCTTCTGGGTACACGTCTGGCTCTGTTGATTTGTTTCCTTATTTCCTTGTGCGGGTATCGTAGTTTTGAGAATGCTTGGTGAAGATCTTGTAGGTGTTGGTCTCTGTCTGAGGGGATGGAGCAAACGCGGTTGTACTTCAGCGCTTGGCTGTAGATGATGGATCATGTGGTGTGTCCAGGATGGAAGCTGGAGGCATGAAGGTAGGCATAGCGGTCAGTGGGTTTTCGGTATAGGGTGGTGTTAACGTGACCATCACTTATTTGTACCGTGATGTCTAGGAAGTGGACCTCTCATGTAGATTGGTCCAGTCTGAGGTTGATGTTGGGGTGGAAGCTGTTGACATCATGGTGGAATTCTTCCAGAGTCTCCTTCTCATGGGTCCTGATGATGAAGATGTCATCTATGTAGCATAGGGAGAGAAGGGGCGTGAGTGGACGAGAGCTGAGGAAGCGTTGTTCCAGGTCAGCCATAAAAATGTTGGCATATTGTGGGGCCATGCGAGTGCCCATAGCGGTGCCACTGGTTTGGAGGTATATATTGTCACCAAATTTGAAATAATTGTGCCCGAGGATAAAGTCATAGAGCTCAGCAACCAGTTGTGCTGTGGCGTCATCAGGGTTACTGTTCCTGACAGCTTGTATTCCATCTGTGTGTGGGATGTTTGTGTAGACAGCCTCCACATCCATGGTGGCTAGGATGGTGTTTTCTGGAAAATCACCAATGCATTGTAGTTTTCTCAGGAAATCAGTGATGTCACAGAGATAGCTGGGAGTGCTGCTGGTGTAGGGTCTAAGTAGAGAGTCCACATATCCGAACAGTACTTCAGTGAGAGTGCCAATTCCAGAGATGATGAGTCCTGGATTTCCAGGTTTATGGATCTTGGGTAGTAGATAGAATAACCCTGGTCGGGGCTCTAAGGGTATGTTGATTTGTTCCTGTGTTAGTGTAGGGAGCGTCCTGAGTAGATGGTGCA